ATATGATATAATCATCTTCAAATAAAATATGATGCTATTTCAGATGATTAAAAATGAGAGAATCTAAAAACAATTAGAAGAAACTCAATGCTTATAGGTTTCCAGCTCTTGGCAATTTTTATGATGCTGAATTGAGTCAGTTAAATCAATGTCACAGTAAGACATCTAAATAACACATGATTATAATAAGTGAATTTTGGAGTTTTGACCTTGATGGTGATCACAGTAACACGTTAGTCTTGAAGAATCAGCTAGTTTCTGTAGTTGGACAAAAATTTAATCTTAAAGATTCAAGAATTTTTGCCATGATCATTTCCTTTTTTTTCAGATTGTTCCATCAGGTTCAACTCTATGCATGATGTCATAAACAACATGGTTGAAGTGGAAAATTTGAATTGTTAGAATAAACACGATATTTTCTATTAAGGTGAATGCAAGTGATATTTCAAATAAAAATAAAATTACAGTAAAAACTGCTTAGGCGCTTGGAACATTCATTATAATATATTATGAATTGTTTTTCATTTATGCTAATTTAATATACTAGTATCTCCAAGTACTTAATATAAGTATAAAACAAGTGTCTATTGTACTTGTAACACAAAAGTAAAGTAATAAATCTAATATTTTTTGTTCTTAGAGGTTGTATATATATTGAAAAAATAGTTATTCAAACTAAATATTAACCTTAAATCAATTATTTTCCTATTTCAAAGTTCAATTGTAAAACTATCAAATAATTATGATTATTTTTAAAGAAAATTAGAGATGCCAATTTCTACAACTTTTTCGTAAAAAAGTTATAAATTAGTGAATGAAAACAAATTTATTAATAAAATCCTGTTCAGGCATCAGTTTGAGTTTTCTCTCTAATTAATAACAACAAAATTTTCTTACCAATTCTCATATGTTCTTGCATCTTATCTGCTGGTATTTTTTCTCCTGTAATTGGAGATATGAGATACTGTTCTGTTGTTGTTGGCTGAACCTTGGCAGTCACTATATTAAAAAAATTAAATTATTACTAGTAGAGAAAGTTAACAAAAATAATGCATAAAAATTATTTTCATAAATATTACAACATGCACTATTAATCTATTATTCTTAAGTATAACTAATTTTATTTCAAATCTTGTTCATCAATAAAAAATTTCCTTTTATTAAAAAAAAAATACATATACTGTATATATATAATAAAGTTACAGTAATCTGAACTTGTGCAATTTTTAAATTTGTGTCATCACAAATCATCAGAATTTCAGAAGATTTTTAGAATTACACTTTAGACTGGAATTTTAATTTATAAATTTAAAAATCTTGAAAAAATCTGACAGATAAAAAACTTGTTTTTAAGAAACATTCTTAAACTCATTTACAATGACATAATATCTTTTAATAATATTTTAACTGTTTTATATGTTTATTGTTTGAAGGACCATTAATTAAAATATTGCACCTGGAAGACACATGAAACAAGAAACAAATGTATGGAAATTTATATGCTATTAAAATGCCATTTTAAAAAAAATTAAGAAAAACTATAAAAAAAAAATAGGACTTTAGTAATATGATATAATCATCTTCAAATAAAATATGATGCTATTTCAGATGATTAAAAATGAGAGAATCTAAAAACAATTAGAAGAAACTCAATGCTTATAGGTTTCCAGCTCTTGGCAATTTTTATGATGCTGAATTGAGTCAGTTAAATCAATGTCACAGTAAGACATCTAAATAACACATGATTATAATAAGTNTGTCAGAGACGCTTTTCACAATTTCAAGATTGAAAGCAAAGTTTATCAATCTTGAAAGACCTGACTTTTGGAAAGCATAGATTTAATTGAAAACAAACTTGAGGAAGTCATCCAAAAGCAAAAGTTAACACAGGTTAGACAGACTAAGGAATTTTTTAATAAAGCACATGTAGATATTGTCTAACCTGTACACGTAAATTTAGTTTATTAAATTCTTTGTTCTAAATTGCTCTAAAATTGTGTTGTATTTTACACAATTTTAAATACAGGTACAGTACATGCACCTACATACTAGAGTACATATTATATCCTTACTGTCAATTTATTGAACTGTAGACCTACAGTATTTTCCTTAGGGGTATAAAATATTGTACACGATACAATTAAAGTTGATCTCATCATTTGATAAAATTTTTTATTAGTTTTTTTTTTAAGCTCATAATACAGTATATGTACGATAAATAGTTTCTGTATCAACCTACTTTATTTCCATGATATTTTTAGAAAAATAATATCCATAATAATATTGTTATGGATTGGTTAATAAATAATCAATAATAATATTGTTTTTTGAATATTTGCATGCAAATATTCAAAAAACAATAAACACATAACCACAAAAATCAGTTTTACAGGCAACCTTCCTTTTTTGATTGTGCATTGTCATTGGTGTAATGAAATCGTATTATGAGAAGAAATGATAATATTGTTTTATTATTAATTAATAATTTTTCTTATTGTACTTAAGAAAATATTAAATATTTTAAAAAAATACAGTATTTTTGAAGTTAAAATAAGATTAAACTAATAAAAACTAAAACCATATGATGCACTTCTATATTAATGAAGTAATACACATAACTGAGGAGTGAACGAAGAGAACTAATTTCAATTAATTAAGTCAGAAAAAAGAAAGTGTGCATTATAATTGAGAAAATGCAAATACTGTATTAATCTTTAAAATACTGGTATTAATGATTTTCGAGTGATATATTGACACAATCCTACAGTTTTCAAGCTATTAAGAAACAATAAGAAGAGTTATGACTGGAAATCGGCATCAGGGATCTATTCTATACCATTACATGATCAGCGTTTTAATTCGGATCTTGTCTACGTGGGCGCAACAATGCGCAACTTGTAGCAACATATAAAAGAGCATAAATATACGATTAATAAGAAACTTGACAACACCATGCTACTGGCTTACGCAACACAACACAACATTCGAGTCCATTGGGATCGGACGGAAATAATTAAACCTACACCAAATTTACATACAATGAAATATCTGGAAAAATTAGAGATCTTTAAGGCACACGGGAAAACTGGTTGCATCAACCATAGAGATGCGGACTCTTTACCTACCGCATGGCGATCCTTTTACAAGAATTAATGACTTTATTTATTCTTATTTTTGTTAAGGGACATTTTTTCGGTTTAATTTATATTTTTTGTTTATTTTATCAGCAAAGCTACTTTTCCGTTATTTATATTTTAATTTCGTATTTACATTCTTTTTTGTGTTCGATTTATTCTATGTTATGGTAACTGAAGAAGATCGTTAAGAAATGATTGAAAACGTTTTTACTTTATTAATTTTTATTAGCTGGGTTATTAAAGGTGTGTTTTATTCATAGTATTAAATGTCTTATAATATCATGACGACTCCTGTTAACTGAGTTATCCAATAAGAATAAAATACCAACATAGCTCTATTGTTGAAACAATTCGCTTATTTTTGCTCACCTCAAGTTTTACTTAGTAGAAATTAGATGCCACAGATAATGATTTTACCGAATACTGAATATTCAGCTATGCTCTCGGCCAAAGCGCCGAATATTCAGCGGCTGAATGTTCGGCAAATTATGTATACATTTCACGGGTGACAGGTTACAACCTGTCTCATTGCAGTGGGTGCAGTAGCGACACTGCGGGTGCATTTGTTTCATTTGCAAGTAGATCATGTCACAACATGCATTATTTGTTCATTGTTATGTCAAATTGTGTTACTAATAGTTCTTATTACTAAAAAATATCACTGTTTGTTCGCCAATGACACCATTTAATAAAAACTTGTCTATTTGGGAATATTATGAGATTTGTAGTGAAGATAATAAACTGGCTGTGTGTTTGCTGTGTAACAACAAGATCTCGCATGGTGGATAAGAAAAGAAAGCAAATAAGTAAAATCTTATTACATATTAATTAAGTAAAACAATTTTAGTCATATTTAGTATTTAGTGCTTGTAATTTTTTATTTCTTGTTTTTTTTTTGCTCGGTACTTTATTTCATATGTAGTATTTCGTTGATAAACTTGATATAAACAAGTCCTATTTTTAAATATACATTTTATTTATTATCTTTAAAATTCAGAGGATTAAGTGAAGACAGAATAATACAAGTTTAAGCTAGTACTGTTTGGGAATTCCTTCTTTGGTGTCAGATATTGTGTTCTTTTTTTTTTTTGTTTATAGCTACAACTTCTTTGAAAAACCACCTTAAAAGCAAATATGCTGAACAGTACACTATATTAATTGTTGCTCCCTTGGCAAGTGACAGCGAAAATGATGGTACTCTTGCTTCTACCGATTCCAAGATACTGGCAGTACCAGATATGTCAGAAAAAAAAACAGTTAACTCTGAAGGAAACAACTAAAAAGAAATTATTATGGGATATTAATGATCCGAAATCAATAAAATATCATTATTTAATCGGTGAAATGATTGCCTTAGACAACGAACCATTATCACTTGTTGAATGAGTCGGCTTTAAAAGGCTTATAGAAAAGGTAGTACCCCAATACAAAAAAATACCTGGTTGCACTTACATAACCAAGAAAATTATTCCTGATATATATAATAGAATTTGCTCTAAAATTGAAGCTAGTATTTTGCGAGCAACAGCAGTATCAGTGACATCTGATATGTCGACATGTCAGCACAATAACCAGAGTTTCTTGAATTTCACTGCGCATTGAATATCTCCAAAGTTTACTCTTGAACAAGGTGTTTTAGTGATGAAGCCATTTGCTGGCTCACATACTGGTACCAATATTGCAAAAGAACTCAATGCTATTGCAGAAAGATGGAATATTCCTCATAGCAAGATTCACTTGTCCATGACAGTGGAGCCAATATGATAAAAGGTGTATGAGACTGCCAATTGTTTTATTCATTTACTGCAATGAGCTGTTGAGGAATTGCTAAAGTCTCAAACGGAAATAAAACAGATGGTAGTTGCTGCAAGACAAATTGTTACCCATTTTAACCACTCTGGTATAGCACAAGGAAAGCTGAAATGCATTCGCCAAGAACTTAACTTGCCAAACCACCAACTAGTACAAGATATAAGCACATGCTGGAATTCTACATATTATTTAATGGAACGATTATTATAACAAAAGCAAGCTGTTTCTTTGTACAAGAGTCTTTAAATAATTTAACATCTTCTCAGTGGGGGCTAATGGAACAATGTATCAAACTCCTCAAACCATTTGAAAATATTACGAAAATAACCAGCTCAGGTATTTCCTGCATCTCTGAAGTGATTCCACATGTTGTCACATTGTTGAAATACCTGGGGAAGGAAGAGACTGAAGATAGAACACCAAATTTATTGAGAATGAGATCTTCACTACAAATTGAACATGAAACACGGTTCAACTTTGATGAGAATGACAAATATCTGGTTACCACTTTTCTTGACCTGCGTTTCAAAACCAGTTTCCTGGGATTAGTTCAAACGCAAAGAGCAAAACAAAAAATTCTTTTAGAAGCTCTGAAAATTAGTCATGACGAGTCTACTAGTACGGATGATGATTCTTCTCCATTTCGTAAGAAAAGAAATATCAATGAAAATGATAAAACCATTGAAATACACGACAGTTTCTGGAACTGTTTTGACAAAGTCGCTACAGAAAATATGCAAAATGATGAGGATGTGGAGGAGAAAAGTGCTATTGCAAATGAGATTGATTTTTATATGAAAACTGTTCGCCTCGATTGGACGGCAGACCTTTACAAGTGGTGGTCAGCAAACGCAAAACAGTACCNTACAAACAAAATAAATATATTGAAAAATATAAAAACAATAAAAAATTATACTTCAGAAGTTAATTTAGTATCAAAAACGTAAAATATTTGAGTAGCCCAACACATAGCCAAAGATTGCAGCACCACAGCACTGGCGAAAATTTAAATTTGCCGACTGGAATTCTTTCGAATGATTGACATTTCGGATGATTGACTTTCGGATAATCGACGCTCTACTGTAAATACATTTTTGAATAATATGTGTGTTTTTTTAATGATTTGGTATTTGGTATTCAGCCAAATAGTACTCAACATTTGGCCGAATACTGAATATTAAAAAAAGTAGCCTAATAGGCTGAATACCGAATTGTAGCCAAATATTCATGGCATCACTAGTAGAAATGGCTAAAAAGTGCAAAAATATGTGTGGAAATATGGTATTACAACACCACCTGTTTTGGACGACCACCTGTCTAAAAGACCACTATTTGAAAGGAACTATTGCTAACCTTAATATCTATTCTACTTATTTATTTTCTATTTTATTTGTGTCTTATCTATGTTAGCATAATTGAAAACTTTAAATTTCAATATTTTATTATTAATATAATTTATTTGTTTTATATTTGGCTTACTATACTGATTACATTTTCAATTTTTAATGTTTTATTGTATTGATTTATTAATTTTTTTAAAATGTTCACCTAAAAATAATGTAGAAACAATCTCATAGGAACAGTTTCAATTACAAAATTGCATTCAATGTAAGGTTAAAATTAAAAGATACAAGTTGAAAGACTTGCTCCAGAAGTTGAATTTATGAAAATCAAAAATATTTTTTTAAAATGCACTTTTGAATAAAACTCTTGCCTTATCAGTATTCAAAAAGCTTTTGAATATTTTTAAAACTGGTGATTTATAAAACATTAATCAGAAAAGTAAATTTAAAAATTTCAAACCTTTAGGATTATAATCCTTTCTGATAATGACTTGATCAGGTTGTGGAGGAAGTGGTGGTGGCTGTGGAGGAGCTTCTTTTGGTGGTTGTGGTGGTGGACTGTGAGATTTTGGTGGTTTTTCTGAATCATCATCAGAAGAATCTTGTTCCATGTCTTGTATCTAATTTGTGAAAAATTTTCATTAATATCTTATTAGTTAAATTAATTTCAAAATAAATAAATAATAATAAAGTCAAATATTTTAAATACAGTTATAATTTTCAGAATTTACAATTTTATATATGTCAGATGTCATTTTAAAATGTTCAATGTAAGAATTTTTTTTTTTAAATTATATTTTTCTTTTATTGCTTTCAACTCATTTCTCTTTATTAAAGCAAAATCTTTTTAATATACCTTACAGAAACAATATCTTTTGCATGTATTCACAATTTCATGGAATTTAATAAGTAGTTTGCAAATAGAATGATGATAAACATTTGATTTTTAAAATGAATTGTTATAAAAATTGAATATTTACAAGAATTAGACTTTCTTTTAGTTATTTCTGACTTTAAAAACTGTAAAAAAAATACTCTCTAGATAATTTGTTTCTCTTTCTGTCCTGTGGGCACTAAGAGGGTCTTTTAATCATACCCACAATGGATATGATGAGTGTGTTTGACCAGGCCCACAATAGGGCAGCTAGATGAGGAGCAGGACTGATATATCTAGGACAGACCACCCTGAAAAAAATTACTGGGTTTTTCAACTGCCTGGATTAAAATCTGAGTTCCCAGAGGATTAAGTTGATGCTTTAACAGCCTTGGTCATCCAGCCAGCTCTGAAGATAATCTTATACAGTTTGAACATTTGGGTTGTACAATTTTATTTAAAGAACTTTCTACATAAAGATATGTTTAAAGTAATTTTAGTGAATTCTGAGTTTGTTGAAATGCTCAGATCATAATTTTCTATGTAAATTTATTACAATGAACTTATACTTCTCATTTTATTTATTTATTTTTAATTCCATTTATTCTGATTTCTAGATGAAGAATAATAACAATTTATCAGATGCAATTACCAACTTAATCTGAATTAATTATAAAATCCAGATAATGTCTAATGCATGGCTGATTTATTATAAGTAACATATTGATTGGCTTAAATTATAAATTTATCAATTCTTATCTTTTAATAATGTAATTTGCATTTAGAAATATATAATTTAATGTTTTACTAAAATTTCATCTATGATATCAAAAACTTATNAGATTAATAGAACAATAATCAACATTAAAATGATTAATATTCATTGTTTATCTTCTATCTTCCATTAATCTTGTTTTCCTTTAATAGAGATCACTTTGTTTATTTAATACTCAAAAATATTATTTTAGTTAATTCTAGTAAAGTTACTCCTTCTCACATATTAAAATTCTCACTTTTATTTCATTCCAACATCATATTTTAAATTATTATTGCCATGCAACTTTTTATAATCAACCATTTGTCATGGCAAAATTATAAATTCTTAAATACATTACATCAGAGTAGACAAAGTCTAGACTTAAAATTTTTCATGAATAAAAGAGCAAATAAACATAGATATGATCTGAAACTGAATTGATATTAAATAGCAATTTTTAACACAAAATGACAAACATAAACATTAATCAGTCCAATTAAAAATATTTAAATTTCTGTAAGATACTGAACCAAATAATCATGGGAGTTAGAAAAAACAATTATAAAATACAATGTTTTATCCAAATAGCAAAATGTATATTCTTAAATTTTTTTATTTAAATTATAGTAAAACCTCAGTTTAGTGCCACTGTTTATCCACTTCTGAAATTGCTAGTAAATCAATAGTAGTACTAAACTGAAGAATCTTAAACAATAATAATTATTACACATTGAATATTACATACAAATAAAAACTTCATTTCTTCACATCCTTTACAACCACAGGAACACAATTAACATTAGCAATCTTTCCTTTGAGGTTCTTTTCTGCTTATGAATATGTAAATTAATTAAATCCCTCTAGCAACAGATTCTGCTCATGTTAATTATGTTCCTGTGATTGTGAAGGATGTATGAAGACTTCAAACTTTTATTTGTATTTAGTTTTTGAATTGTAATATTTTAATATACATTTAATCCTGACCTTTTTCAGTAATAATTATATACAGTAATAGTTTACACACAAGTTTGAATTTATGAAAGTCATGATTAGTGATGACAATATCATTTCCACTGAAAAATCATACATTTATAATTTACAAATACTGAAAGATTCTCTATTTAACATCTTTAGGAAAATACATTAACAAGTATTTGTTGGTGCTTTACAATTGTAGCACTATTTAAGTAGCTGCTATATTGATGTTTAACTGTATTTGTAACATTAATTTAAACATAATCTATTCATCTGTTGGTGTTATTTATTTTAGAAATAGCTAAGAAAATGAACTAAAGAGTCAAGATGAAAATGTCTTTTCAAGTAAAATGAAAAGTTTCTATGACTTTTATGGTGAAAGTTGTGTCGCAAGATGTTCTATTTGTTCAAAAATTCAAAACTTTGGGTAACAGTTTATCTTGGGTAGTGGTTGGCTTCAAAAACCTTTCAAGCACAAAACTTAAATAAAATAAAAGTTTGATGTTCCACAGTTACTTTGCAAAGTTTTAATTCTTTACACATTTAAGCAATCCTCAAATTGTCTTTTATTCAAAAGTATTTCATTAAATGATAAATTTTTGTTAAATAAGTCAGTACAGAAAACTTTATTCAATATTTCAAAGCATCAGTACATAAAAATGATGAAGTTAGTACTAACAAAGTACTAATACATCATTTTTATGAAAAAAATTATCATAACTGTATCAAATGTATAAATACTATGATAGAAATTAATTA